CAATCCTTGGAAAAGCCACTTTTTCCAAGTTTCCAAACAAAACCCTGCTGGGATTGGTCTAGGTCACAGTAGAAGGGATATTACTTTACATGAATACTTCTGGCACTGAGCCTCAATTTCATTTCATTTTTCATTTCATCATCCTGTTATTCGTCGATTGCCTCGAGCAGGCCCCAGTAACGTCTCTTTCATCCTAGCCCTGAGATTATATTCAAGGCTGTTTAGGAGAGTGAGACCCATCATTGTTACTGGTATTTGGCATATTTGGTATGCCACGGGGAGTTTGCCAGACTCTGCCCTGTGGGCAGGCTACATTCGATAGCCTGCAAGTTTGTCCAAAGTAGAAATAAGACAATAAGATGTCATAAAAAAAAGTTCTGTTAAGATGTCGCGCGGCCGCGAATGCGGCCACGCGGTTCCGGGATCTGAATTTTATAGTCTCTGAGTCTTGGCCGCTGATGGGATTACACGGCGCCAGGGGGCCAGGTGGTGGGTGTGACCCCCGCCTACTGGAATTTGGAGGATCTGGGTGGAAGATGCTCAACTCCAATTCGAGTAGGCTTGGAGGTCTCGGCCCCGGAACCCGCGTGGCTTTGTCCCTCTGCCAGTACCTTCATGTGTGCGGAGAGTGGTCTCAGCACTGAGCCTCAATTTCATCTATAAAAATCTCTCTTAAATGCACACACAAAAAGTCTGTGTCTGACCTCTCACTTGGGAAACTCACCAGCTGTAGGCAGCAGGGAGTGAGTACAAAGAGTCCAGGGATTTGAAGCTGTTATCCTGACTGTCTGATATGGGAGGGCGTCACCAAGCAGGGAAGCCAGAGGGCCCCGACTGCTAGAAAGGGCAAGCACGGGATTCTCCCCTAGGTTTTCCAGAAGGAATTCACCCCTGCAACAGGCTGACTCAAAGTGAGTTAAGACCTGTTTTGGATTTCTGACTTCCAGAACAGTAAGAGATGATATATGTGTTATAAGCTGACAAACCACCTTTTAAAAAAGGTGAAGTTAACGACAGTGTTTCCGATGACGTTCCATAATATCAATTTCGCTGTAATCCTGCTAGCATGGAATCTTATTGTATTTTGAATTGGCAAAAATATTTAGCTTGATTTAGGGTTGAATTTCTTTACTTTTCACAGAACTGGCTGCTTCCCCTTTTGTGGAGAGGGGACTGCACTTTGATGAGGAATGACATATACACCTAAATGATGTTGTAACAGCTGACAGACACATTGTAGGAAAAATAAAATCTTGCATATATAAAGCATTTTTAACTCTAAAAAGTGATTTTTTTTGGCTTTTTGGGTCACACCTGGCAATGCACAGGGCTTACTCCTGGCTCTGCACCCAGGAATTAACTCTGGCGGTGCTCAGGGGACCATATGGGATGCTGGGAATCGGACCCGAGTTGGCCACATGCAAGGCAAATGCCCTACCCACTGTGCTATTGCTCCAGCCCCTAAAAAGTGATTTTTTAATAGCAGAAACATGTTTCTAATGCAAGATGTTAATGTCACCATATGCCGGAAATACTCCAGGGGCTTAAGTGGCCAAAGTGCTCTTCTGAGAAGGGTCCTCTTGGATTTGGAAGGAACCTTTGCTAAGGGGAAGTTCACACCTGCCTTGGGAGCTGCTGGACACTGAAGTCTCTTTGCAGGCCTCCAGATCTAGAGGATCTCATATTGTCTGTCCCCAAAGCTGCTCCCTAACCCATCAAGTTTTTTTTTTTTTTTTGCTTTTTGGGTCACACCCGGCGATGCTCAGGGGTTACTCCTGGCTTTGCACTCAGGAATCACTCCTTGCGGTGCTCGGGGGACCATATGGGATGCTGGGAATCGAACCTGGGACGGCCGCGTGCAAGGTAAATGCCCTACCCGCTGTGCTATTGCTCCAGCCCCAAGGGTTCTTTTTCTAAGGCCCATCTGTGATAATAAGCTCTTGAAATGTGGCAGCATGGTAATCTATGTGGAATACATTGTGAAATGCACTCGATTTCGGCAGCACAAAAGTATCTACTGTAAATAAATAAACCAACTTCTCAAACTGCTAAGCAAGTTCATCGGGGCTCGAACTCAGGGTCTTACACATGCTCTGCATGTGTTTCACCACTTGAGCCATTTCTTTCTGTAATTGGTTTTAGAGTTTGTCTAAGCTTTTGAATACATTACTGCCTTTTGCTTTTAAAGCACGGACTATTGCAAGTAAAAAATGATCTGTATCTGAATCCAAGTCTCACGAGGATATGAGAATACTTTGCTGATCCTCCAAATACGTTCAAGACTGAAGACTTTCCAATAATTCCTTACCAGAGTCATCTGTCTACTGAGATTTATTTCACGTATTGATATTTCAAGTATCATTCTTCCCACAAGTCTGTCATCCGCAAAAACTCCAACTGCAATCTATTACACTTAATTGCTTTATACCTTTATTTTGGCAGCGCTGGGAACTGAACCCAGCGTCTCACATGTGCAAAGCAAGTGCTCAATCCCTGAACCATAACCCTGACCCCGATGTGCTGCATAAGGGCGTCCTAGGTGGGGCTTGGAAACCAGGACTACACCAAGCAGTACTGAGGGGTGGACCGTGCAACGTCGGGGCTCGAACTCAGGGTCTTACACATGTTCTGCATGTGTTTCACCACTTCAGCCATTTCTTTCTGCAATTGATTTTGACCTCCCAGGAGTTGTTGCTGACCACGAAGCTCTGCATTCTTGCTTGTGGGTTGCATGCTACATCCCACCCGCCCCCTGACCCTTGGGTACTCCCTGCTTGTGCGCTAATGGTCACCAGAGCCTATGCCCTCTAGCCCCATTTAGGGCCGAGAAGATGGCATAAAGGGCTGGGGTATATGTTCTGCATGTTGAAACTTCAGATTTAATATTTGGCATTACATGATCCCCTGGCACCACTGGGAGTGGCCCCAGAACACTCCAAGGTGTGCCCGCCCGCCCCCCCCCCCCCCCGAAATTATGTGAAAAGAAAATGATTTTAATCCAATTCTGATTTTTGGGAGAAAAACGGTTTATCTCTGTTTATTGCTCTTCCTCATATTCTTTTTTTTCTTTTTGGGTCACACTTGGCGATGCTCAGGGGTTCCTCCTGGCTCTGCACTCAGGAATTACTCCTGGCGGCGCTCGGGGGACCATGTGGGATGCTGGGAATTGAACCCGGGTTGGCTGCATGCAAGGCAAATGCCCTCCCCGCTGTGCTATCTCTCCAGCCCCATCTTCCTCATATTCTTAAGATGCCTATAGGTAAACAAGGTGATAGCCAGTGGGTGTAGCTGGAGAACTTTGGGCATTCTTACCTAGATGCACTGACCACGGACACTCGCTGGTGCTCAGCAGCAGAGCACAGGCCTCGCACGTGTGAGGTCTGTATTAGTTGCCAGCCCCCGAGAGAGTCAGGCTCTCAGGTCAGGCTCACTGTCCACCACCGCCTGGAGTTGTGGTGGACATGGTGTAGCCCTCTTCTGAAAGCTAGTCTTACTTGACAGGGACCGCCACGACACGCCGTTGACTCTGGGGGAGTCTTCAGAGGTTGCTGGTGGAGAAAGAGCACGTGGGACGGAAGGAGCAGGTGAGACGGGGGTCACTTAGGTACCTGAGTGATCGGAAGCCCAGTGTCCCTTACATTCCCAGAGTGAGAGAGCTTTGCTGAGTTAATAGATTTATTACAGCAGGTCTTTAGTCAATATTGCATGAAAACATTTCCATGAAATTTCCTCAAATCCTTTAAGCCATTAGTATTAAGCTCTTTTTCTTTTACATGGAGTGACACTTTGTTAATTTATGAAATATTTACAGCACTTACAAAAAAGCAAGAGAATATCTAATAAAATTTCTTATACATACAAAAATTCATACATTATACTATGATCTTTGAGATGTCTTATTTGGTAGACCTTTTAGGCTATGACATAAAATAATTTACAAAGATATATTTAATCTCTCTTAATTCATTGAAAACAAAACCATTATTAGCTATAAATAGTCCTTTACAAATCATTGCAAAACACATTGTTTTAATGCTAGCCTTAGCTTTTACAAATAGACTTACTAAATGAATTAGTTCAGATATCAAAGAGAAGTGTGCATTTGAAATTTCATTTAACACTACGAAAACGGAACACAAAGAAACACAACAACCTGAAAAAAGCAAACAGGCGGGTACTTCAAGTAAAAATTTGTAGAACCAGTTTTTATAGATGCTTGTGGGCAGGGGCATCTAACGACCAACGAGAGCGAAATTCAGAAACACGATACTTTGGCCAATAGGCTCCACCAGTGTCTATGTCTCTTTCCAAGGACGGCACCGGAGTGTCAGCTGAGCGCCCACGATGGTCAGCCCTACATCTTAGCTGAGGAGTGTTTGAACCAGAGCAAAGTTGGTGAAATAGCCACCCAAGCAGCAGAATGCAGCTGGCACCCCTGGACTGTGCTGTAGAAGGGGCTCCCGGCACCTAAATTTGGGGGCTAGGCTTGTAGGCAAGCTCATTAAAGCACACAAAAAACGTAATTGACAGGCAGAGGGGAAAAAGGTCAAATTAGATTTGACTGCGCCATAATTATTAATAGAAAAATACTCTTTCTGGAAAATTAGGGGGGCACCTGGGGAAAGCTATTTCTCCTTAGGCCCCTTATTTGAGACTTGGGATATTACACAATTTGGCAACCGCTGGAACACCTTGCATGGGATCGGGCCTAGGAAGCCGAGCTCAATGGGACTTTGGCAGCAACCCACCGCTTTCACGTCTGGGTTCATTTTAGAGAAATCCAAAGCAATTCTTAGGAGGAGGAGCTTGAGGAAAGTCCATTTCGCAAACACGTATTCATTTGTCCCCTTTCATTTCTGATAACTTGGTTCTGATTTAGCCCACGAAAGACATCTTCCCCACCCAGCCCTTCTCAAGAGGTAAATGCAGTTTACACTTTATCTTTCAAAAATACTGCTCTCGCAAAAGGGACCAGGAGTCGTGCAAACCCCGTTTGGTTCCTCTCCTCCGGCTGCTCGGCGGAGACGCGGTGGCTTTCTTGTAATATGTATTCTAGAAGGCACATATTCAAGAGTGTAAGATGGTGTTAGTGCAGTTCTACACGGAGGCCAATCTTTGCATCTACTCTGTACAGAGCCCCCCAAGGAGAGTCGCCAAGTGCCTTTGTCGTGCGCTGGGCCCAGAGCCTCAGAAGTGCGTCTGCATGTGGGTCACCATCTGCGAGGGGCTAGCTGGCGAGGCGGAGGGCTCTGAGAGCTTGGCCGAGTTGGCGAGCTGCATCTCCTCCAGGCGCTTGATGTACTCGTCCCGCAGGGCCAGGAGCTCCATGTAGCGCTGCTCCACCGGGTTAGGCTGCTGCGGAAGGACAGACTGGTTAGCACGGCCCACGCTCCCCGCCCTGCCCGCTGCCCCACATCCATCCACACAGTGTCCCAAAGTCTCGGGAAGTGAAACGGCACCAAGCACCCAGTGCCCCAGCGCCCCCGCCCGCAGAACATTCCAGAATCCGAGACACTCTTCCGAATGGCACTTCTCCCGCAAGGCCCAGACGACTCGTCGTTTTAAGGGAAACTGAGTTCAGTCGTGCGATGCCCTTTCAGCCATGTCCCTGTTTCTGGCTTTCAGGGCATGGGTGGGTCGCCACGCTGTCCATTTCAGTGGGCAGGGCCATGCTCTCGCGGGTGGGGCTGCCTGCCCGGGAGGCGCTGTGGACTCTGCAGCTGTGCAGATGCTCCCCGTGCTCCCCACACCTGGGCACTTGGGAGTCTTCCTCCTGCCTGGCCTATGGCTCTCACGTGGTGCTGGGAGTGCAGCTTCTGTCTCTCCCCTGCCACAGTCTTTCACGTGGCCCGGCCTAGAGTCACGCACGGCTGGGACAGGGGGAGACACTTGCTGGCCTCGGGTGGAATCTAGGGTCGACCTCGGCACCAGCTGCGGGATTTGACCCTCTGGGTGCTTCCACCAGCCAAATGGGAATACGAATCATCCACCGGTTGTCATGAGGGCAAAGGCGGGTCAAATTACTGTTCATTTTCCTACAATGCCGATTTCTTTGATGACCGAGCAGGCCCGCACATGGGAAGCAAAGCTGATTCTCCCTGACCTGCTCACCCTTCACGTTTGCACTGAGGCCGGAACCAGAGATAGTGGCGTGCGGGCATCGTCAATATCAAGCGCAATGCACCGTGACGCGTCTGTATCCGTATTAATGCAGTCGCTCATTACCCAGCTGCGCTTGGCAATGAACACCCCTTCCCCAGATTCCCTCACCGGCACAATCATGCTCTGAAGAGATCACAGACAAGCTTCGAGAAAGCTCCAGCACTATGTGAAGGCCTGATGAAACAGCGCAGCGCCTCCAGAAGTGCTGCTCTTTACTGCAAGTGGCCGCTCGAACTGTCCTGCGTCCCTGAATGTGTGAAGATGCAGAGTGGGAGGAAGCTGCCTGGCACCTATGAGTACCACCCTGGTGACTTCCGAGGAAGCTGCGGCACGAGGATACAAATGCACTGACTGAAAGCAGCAGCCACCCCTGACCGCGGACTGGAAGGAGGACAGAGAGGAGAAGAAGGGTGGATATAAAACACAGAGAGGGAGCCAGGATCCAGGGCACTCAGGCACACGGGTGATAGAGTGTCATGGCTATGTACACAAGCCAGAGTCAAGGACCGGAAACGAGAGATCCAATCCCCAGCAACCACACTTCAAAATGTGCTTGCTGAGATGGTGGGCTGGGGGCTGGAAGAGAAACCAGGGACACTGCAGGGGGGAAGTTGACACTGGTGGTGGGATTGGTGATGGACCACTATATAGCTAAAACTCAATGATGAGGGGCTGGACATAGTACAGTGAGGAGGGCAATTGCCTTGCATGTGGCCGACCTGGGTTCAATTCCCGGCACCTCTTATGGTCCCCAAGACAGCCAGGAAGTAAGAGTAAGCCCTGAGCACTGCTGGGTGTGGTCCAAAAAAGGAGACCTTAACTGTGAGTAACTTGGTAAATCACAGTGCTTTATGAAATAAAAAACATATCTAAAAAAGGGAAAAATGTTATTTCTTGTTTCTTCAGACCCAAAGTGCAAAGCAGAGGGGCACACTCCGGCCACAGGGAGACTCAAGGGGCAGGTCGCAGGGAGACTCAAGGGGCAGGTCCTTCCTGGCCCCTTTCAACTTGCAGGGCTCCTGGGTCCCCTGGCTCACAGTCGCATCACTCCCGTCTCCACCTGGTCTTCCTGTGGCATCTCCTCCTTCACGCTCGCGTCTCCTTTCTCCTCCGAGGACACTTGCCCTTGTCTTTATGACACCTCTCAATCCAGGATGAGCTCATCCTGAGATCCTGAATTACACCCACAACGATCTTCTTCCAAATGAGGTCACACTGGCAGGTTACCTGCAGGCGTATCTTTTGGAAACATCCTCCAATCTAGAATGGGCGAGGTGCCAAGGGGCGACCATGCCACTTCTGCGGGAACGGCTGCGACCTTTGGCGTTCCAGAAGCTCACCGGTTTGGAGAGGTCTCAGAACCTCATTCTCCCTGGAAACGGGCCCTCTTCACTGCGAGGCTTTGCAGAATGTGAGGCTGTTTAGAACAGCAACATCTGGGCCAGCGCCCGACACCGGGCAAGAGACTGTGGGCCATGGAAAAGAGAAGGCCCGGTTCCCTACTTCATGGCATCTATCTTCCAGCAGGGGGCGACAGACAAACGACAAATCCAAACGAGCGGGCGCTCAGAGGCTGCTGGCAGGTGGTGCAGCAGCACCGAGATGCTGGAGAGGAGGCGAGGGGGGAGCAGTGGCTCAGGGCCAAGCCTGGCTGATGCTCAGTGCGGGAGCAAGCGCTGCCCGGGGCTGCGGGGCGGGGGGTGGGAGGAAGGGTTTGGATTAGAGTCACCGGTGTGTGCCGGGCCCCTCTGAATGGCATGCTGAGAAGAGTCAAGAAGGAAGTGTAAGTTGAGTCTGGCAGACTAGCTGGACGGCCCAGCAGCCACACCAGGGCAGCGGCGGGGACTGGGAGCCAGGCAGGGGGCCGTGGGGGCTTTGAGGGCCAGCAGGGGGCGGCGGCACTGAGACAGAGCCAGCCGGCTAAGCGGGTCTGCTGGGCAGCGGCGAGGATGGAGTGGCCAAGACCTGAGCTGCGGAAGGCGGGAGGAGACGCTGTGGGGAAGGGCCCGCACGCGCCTCCAGACAGTGGCGACTGCATACCACGCTGCGTCGTTGTCTCCCCGCATCTCTGCTCAGGGATGCGGACACAGAGCAAGGCCGCTCCTTCCTCCAGGGTGTCCGCCAGAACCCTCTGGTCTCTTGACCTGAAGCCGACCTGGTGAGGCTCAAGACTTCCTCCTGGCTATGTGCTCAGGAGTCACTCCTGGCGGGGCTCGGGGTGGGGGGGGCATCTGGGGTACTGGGGACTAAACCAGAGTTGTGCGCATGCGTTAACCCGGCCCCTACTTTTGGTACTGTCCCTCCAGCCCCTATTTTCTGATGCTCGAGAAAGAACTCGATTGCCATCAAGCTGTTTGCTTACAAAACCGTGGAGTCACTCGTGTTCTCAGAGCAACCAAACTGTTTGCTGGTCGCAAGAGGGGGTTTTAACCAAGCAAGTGAGCAGGAATGCCGGTTTCCAAACTACAGCGTGTAAAGATGAACAATGAAATCTCTTCCTGGCTTGTTCCTTGCAGCTCACTGTCTTAGCTGTTGACCTGAATAAAATAACGGTCAGGCTCGGTGTGTGGGCATGGGGAAATTGAGGAATGACTGTTCTTATCTCTGAATTTGGGGGCAGGGGCAAGTTCTTGCTTAATATGGATCTCAGCATGGTATCATCTCCACTGTAAGTTCTTCCTTCTATTTCTTATTTTGGGGGGGGGCGGGGATTTTGGACCACAACCCGGCGGTGCTCAGGGCTTACTCCTGGTTCTGCACTGAAGGATCACGCCCGGCAGTGCTCGGCAGACTACCTGTGGCACGGGGAACAACCCGGGCTCTGTCAGTGCCTTAATCCCTTTATGAGATTCTCTGCCCTCTTCCTTCCATTTCTATGGGAGTTGGGATGTCAAGTTAAAACTGGCTGCTCCCTGCTGAAATTGTCTGTTTTTCCGAAAAATTGCCTTTTGTCAGATGAGTACTACAATCAGCGAGTGCTTGTATCAGCACGTTACAATTTGACAAGCAAAAGAAACCAGAAGGCAAACAATCACTTTCGCAGATGACAGGGTTGTAGAATCAACTGCAAGAGGAGGGGCTGCAGAGACAGTGGGCTGCGTACGGGACTTACCTCACACAGCCACGCCACCTTTCCTCCCCAAAGCCCCGTCCGAGCCCACCAGGGGTGACCCCCGAGTGCAGAGCTAGGAGCAAGCCCTGAGCATTGCTGCGTCTGGCTCCCAAACTGGGAAACAAACAAAAAAGAAATTCCAGAGGAGACAGAAAGAGTTTTACAAGTAAGGATAATCCAGGCTTGTTAACGAGAACTGAGAGACCGTGTCAACTGATAATCAAACAAAAAACTATTTTGTGGATATAATGGAAGAATCATCTGTGAGCGCACACGGGAAGATGAAATAGTGGGAAACAAAATATAAAGTCTGGGGCTGATGCGATAGCACTGCTAGTAGGGCGTTTGCCTTGCACACAGCCAACCCGGGTTCGATTCCCAGCATCCCAAACGGTTCCCTGGGCACCACAAGGAGTAATTCCTTAGTGCATGAGCCAGGAGTAACCCCTGTGTATTGCTGGTGTGACCCAAAAAGCAAAAAAAAAAAAAAAATTAAAAAAAGAAATATAAAGTCTGGTGACTTTAAATATTGTATGTACCTCACCTCGACATCTGGGAAATGAACCCTGCAGCCACGGGTGTCTTCTCTGCAGGGGGCGGGGGGGGGGGGAGTGACCATTAGGCCGCCTCAAACTGTTCTCATACCTGATTCATTTTAACTTTTCTCAGAAATGACTTGCACCCCACCCAGGTCAGACCGTTAACCATCGACTATCCTTATTCTCATCCTTCAGTCGCTATTTTCATTTTTTTCTTGCATTTTTTCTCCCACGGCACCAGCTCATCCTTTTTCAGTCACTATTACGCAAGACTGAACTCAGGCTACAGAAAGAGCAGGGCTCCCCCCACCCACACCCCCAGGCTCACGTGAGGCTCGCTGGGGGCTGAAGGTCCCGTTTGGAAGGTTTATTATAACATGACTCATTTACACTTCTGCTCTGGGCACGAGCCATTTCCCGCGTCACATCAAAGCACCAATTTGCTTCTTGCTCGTTTGTCAAATGTAAGCACTGGGAGTCTATCAGCTCTGCTGAGTTTTCCCTCTGGAGCAGGGGTGGCGGCTTTCGCTTTGAGAAGCACACTGACCTGCTTCCAGGTTAACAGCCTGTTCGCAAGTGTCTGGCTCTTTCAACATGGACGGGGTGCCACAGGCTGGTGCTAGGGGGTGCCCTGGAACAGCCTCCATGCCGACTGTGCCACACAGCTGAATGGCAATCTCACTTTGAGGTGGTTAAGTACATCCTTTGGGGTTTGCATTCTGCGATTTTAAGAGTCCTATGTGATTGGATTTTAATCTATTCCTGTATGAAATAATGCTCTACGTAAGAGCTTTAAGGCAATCTAATGCGCTCACTTCACACTCTATTTATCTCCCAGCATTACAATCATCGGCTTACGTTGCTGGCACCCCTGCCAGCCTGGGGGCTGCTTGTGGGCAAATTCTGCCTCTTCTTAATCCTGGGGTGCCCCTCCTTCCAATGCCTGGCTCGGAGAAACTCTCAGTGTTTGGTAGATGAAAATACAAAGTGCTGAGGAACGTGCGCGTTGTGTGTTGGGAGAGAGAGAGAAAGCGAGAGCGAGCGAGCGAGCGAGCGAGCGAGAGATCCCTCATGCTCTGGAAGCTATAGAGAAGGGTTTTTTAAATTACTTGGCTTTTAAAATGAAGTTCACAGATCATCTACAATCTAGACCATTTACAGTCTCAAGAAGCGAAAGCGCCACCACTGACTGAGCAGCAGGGCCCGCCTGGCTCAGTTCCCCGTGGCCGAGCTCTGTGACAGTTAGGGGGGACAGCGTTATTACACTAACTTCTTCTAATGAAGCCCCTTTCAAACCTGTCACGCAATTCGCAGGAGCTCTGTATATTCAGAACTGAAGCATTCCAAATGTCTTGAACTGCAAGAATTTCTCCAAGTGCAAATGGACGAGGGAGAATACAGAATCCCACAGCAGTGGTGGCCATTCTACCTGCCAGAGCGCCAAAAGGGGAGAGGCTTCGCGTGTTGGACAAACAGGGCGCTCATCGATGGCAGGTCTTAACTAGGAGAGGAACCACGTCTGTGTCAGCGCTCAGAACGCCGGGAAAATTCCCATTTCCTCTCGACTTGCGATTCGAAATGCTAGAACTACTACCCAATAAATCCCCTCCATGTGCTGCTCAAATCTCCACCTAAACGAGTAAATGCTCTCGAGCTCAGAATCTGTCAGTGTCCATAAGATCACACATTTCAACCACTGCTAAACTGCAAAGGCTTTTCATGCGAGCCGCACAGACCCGGAGACGAGAGTGTAGCCTACTGTGGGCATTTCCCCAACGAGGAGAGAGCAGAGCCTGGCAGGTGGCCAGCTGCCCAGTGCCATCAACAAAGGAAGAGGCAGTGTCCGTCCAGCAGCCATTCAGAGTGGGCTCTGAGCTGTCACAGTGCGAGAATAGAGTCTCCAAGGGCACAGGAAAAGGTGCGCAGCCTCACAGAGAGCAATGCAGATTCTGCATCTGTACGGTGCATCGGTACATGGAGCGACTTCCTAGGCCTCTGCTGAAAACGCCGCGTTTCTCATCTGATTTGGGATTGGATGGGGTGGGAGTGGAAGAACGAAAAGTCCAAGTGTGTTTTTAATATAATGCAGAGCTGTTGTTTAATAATAAACAAGCTGTTGGGTTTTTTTTGGGGGGGGGAGGGGAAGAGTATAGGGGGTAAGATGCTTGCCTTGCATGCAGGTGATGCTGGTTTGATCCCTGGCACCCACATATGGTTCTCTGGGGTTCCACTAGAAGTGATCCCTGAGTGCAGAGCCATGAGTGGCCAGGTGCGGCCCAAACCCTGAAAAATGTCAGATTCATTTCTAATGGGTAATGGCCAAACAACTTGATTTGATGATTTCTTTTCTGTGAAAACTCTCAGCAGAAGGTACTGTGATGTGAGCTGACCGAGCTCGTATATCCAAATGAGTATATGAGTCATTTAAGTCTGAGGAAAGAATTTTCTTATGGTGTGACAATACTTCAGGTGACTTATTATTTTGGATGGGAGGATCGGGCCTCACCTGATGGAGCCCAGAGCTTCCTGGCTCTGTGCTGGAATGACCCCTGTCGGGAGGAGGGGGTGGGGTTGTGGAGTGATAATAAAGTGGGTAGGACATTTTGCCTTGTACAGAGCAAGGTTCAATCCCAGCATCCCATATTATCCTGAGCACTGCAGGAGTAATTCCTGAGCACTGCAAGGTTTAGCCCAAACCCTCCCACAAAAAAAGAGTGACCCCTGGTGGTACTCAGGGGACCAAATACAACACCAGGGACTGAAGCAGGTCTCTGAAGAAGGCAGGAGCAAGGCCAGTGCCTCACCTCCTATACTGTGTCTCCAGCCAAGACTTTAAGCAATTAAAGAAAATATTTTTTTTCTTTTTAAAAGTTTTTGGGCCATACCTGGAGATGCTCAGGGGTTACACCTGGCTCTGCACTCAGGAATTACACCTGACAGGGTTTGGGGACCATATGGGGATCGAACCCAGGATGGCTGTGTGTCAGGCGGGCCCCCTACTCACTATACTATCACTCTGGCCCAGTGAAAGGAAATCTTGGACATCATAACACACAGATTTTCCAGAGCTTTAAATCCATCTGCATTCTAGTTTTCAAAAAAGTTATAGAGTATTTATGTTGGCAGAGGAATTTAACACCAATCAGCAAGGATGGCTTCATAATTATACACCATTTTAACTGAAGTTGTGTGTCAAATCAAGTGCGAATGTTTTTTGGCCTGATCCGCTCTCTCGGGTTGTAAAATAACAGCACAGCGGTACAGGAGTCGTATTTAACAGTGCCCGCGGTTAAGTGCTCATGCCTGCATTTAACAGTGTAGCTCCACTTACTTGTTGCTTGATTCTGGGGTTCCATCGAATGTAGTAATTCACCCAGAGTTCCAAGTGACGCATGCTGGCGACTGGATACAAAACGCGATTGATTTCTTTAGTGTAGAAGGGGTTTTTGAATTTTTCCTTGTTGCTATTTATCAGTGACCAGAGAGAAACCGTTCTTTCTGTAACGTTCTGCGGAGAAAGAGAAAGTGGGAGATCTGAGTCAAGGGAGTACAAAACAAACGCAAATCCCGAGAAACCATTTGCCGCAGCAACTTGAATCACCCATTTACATCAGACCCATAATAGCTCAAAGGCCCGGCCCAGGAGAGCCTGCAGCCACTTACTGATATTTGCATAGATAATGGCCTGGAGAGAGGTGCCGGCAGCTGGAACAGTGAATGCAGTTCACTGACCTAAGGAGGCTATTCCTGGCTGGGCAAAGCATTTATGGACAGATGGGCAGTAGGCTGTTTTACATTCAGCAGAAAGGAAGTGATCCGAGATCCCGGAGACGTTTCTCCTGTTTGTATTTCTTAGAACAAAGTCTTTTCTGGTGGGGGGGGGTGGTGGGGGGGGGGGGGGGCGGGGAGTGACACATTCAGCCATGCTCAGGGTCATGTTGGCACCAGGGCTGGGTCCCAGGACCTCGCAGAAGGAAGGCCAGTTGCTCTGCTGCTGGAAGCGCATTCTGGCCCCAAGGATGGCGGGAATCTTAGTCCACACAGAAAGGTCCTCCTCAGGCACCTTGATGTTTAACCGACATCCCCGCCAGCTCTGCCTGTGACGGGAGTGACAGGACGTCGCTGCAAGATTCACTGTCAAGTCTGCTAACTGTCATGTCAACAGAATCTCCCCTGTGCGTGATGTTTTTCCTGAAGGGTTTATTTTGACAAAATCTGACCATAAACGAGAGGGAAAAAAAATCCCAGACCTTGGGAAAGAGAAAAAGAAAAAAAAACGTAGGAAAATTGGGCTGGAGAGATACTGCAGCGGTTAAGGTGCTTGTCCTGCCAGGGGCCAACTCCATCCCGAGCACTGCATTGGGGCCCTGGGCTCCATCAGGAGAGACCCCTGACCACTGAGGCGGGAGCACCCCCTCAGCAAAACTGAGTGTGGCCCCACCTCCACCCCCATACCCAGGCGTGCACGCCTGCACACACACAAGCAGAACTGGGAACTCTTCCTACGCATGGCTGAGGAACGAAGAGCCAGGTCAGGGAGATGCCTCAGAGGGCGGCAGGGCACCCCCTGCAAGTGCGAGGGCCACGTCTGATCCCCAGCACCCCGGGGTTCCCCGAGCACCTCGGGGAATAACCCCTGAGCAACACCAGGCATGGCCCCAAACCCCAAAATAAAGTGTGTGTGAGCCCGTGTGCCTGTGTATTTGTGCATGTGTGTGCATGTGCACATGCGTGTGACTGACAAGCCTAAAGCCTAACCTGGCTGCCAACAGGAACAGGCTGAAGGCCTGGTGGACGCATCAGACTGGGAGGGCTGCTTTCTTCCTTCCTACACACGCACGTTGGTTTGTCGCTCTCTGGGGGGCCGGGCCTCCCCAGCACTGCTACCGACAATCACGGTTACATCTGGGCTGTGTTTGGGGGTCCTATGGGGCGGGATGGAGGCAGGGGCCTGGCATGGCCGGGCAGGCACTGCAACCCTGCACGCCATCTCCCAGCCCGGGCACACACGCGTATTTCCAAGTTCAAGACGTACACAGGGATGTTTGCTAGGGGAAGGAGCCACGGGTCGAGTTTTATCAACCAATGAACTGGATCATTTAGCTCGTACTCCTGTGTCTGGGACAGGGGAGTCACTTGCTGGCTTTTGGTTAGAAGCAACAGATACTGCAAGATACTGCAACTTCCGCTTCCCCTAGTCCTGCCCTCCCAGAGCACCCAGCGCGCAGCCTGGGCTCAGCCCCTGCAACTCAGCAAACGCCCTTGCCCCTTCCTGCTCTGATGGCTTTTCCTGCACTTTTGGGTTATTGCTTTCCTCTGTCTTCTGCCTCTCGGTGCTCTGGGGCTCCTGCTTCTGGCAGTCCACACAGGCTTCTTGTTTTCAGGGACAGACATTCTGGTAGCTTCCAGAGAAACGGGGTGGGGTGGGGTTAGCAGATCTGTGGCAATGCCTCGTGTCAGAGCCAGCCAGTCATCCGTCCTTCCTTCTTTCTTCCTTCCTTTCTTCTTCCTTCTCCTTCTCCCTCCCTCTCCTTCCTTCCTCCCTCTCCTTCCTCCCTTCCTTCCTTCCTTCCTTCCTTCCTTCCTTCCTTCCTTCCTTCCTTCCTTCCTTCCTTCCTTCCTTCCTCCCTCCCTCCCTCCCTCCTTCCCTCCCTCCCAAATTGGCTCCTCGCAAGGCAAGTGCCCTCCCGGCTGTACTACTGCTCCAGCTCGAACCTCTTGAGCATTTTCTAAGAAACGAATATAGGTTTTCAAAAAAGTCATTTTCGAAGATTACTTTTCTCTCTTTTTCTGCGAAGTTTTTCAGTGGACAAAGACACACAAGCAAATCAGTTTCCTCCCAGCTGATTTTCCTTCGGGGCTGGAGCACATATGGCAGTGCTAAGGGCTTACTCCTGGCTCTGTGCTCAGGGAACACTCCTGGAGGGGCTTAGGGGACCATAAGGGATGCTGGAGACTGAACCCAGATCAGCCACATGCAAGGCAAGCACCCTACCCGCTGTACTATCGTTCCATCCCCCAAAGCAGTGCTTCTTGAAACTGTGGGCCACAGTACACAGGTGGAAAAGATTAAAATTGGTGGGGGGTGTGTGTGCAGAGTGACAGTAAATCAGGTAGGGCATTTACCCGGCATGCGACTGACTTAGGGCTGGAGTGATAGCACAGTCGTAGGGCGTTTGCCTTACAAGCGGCCAACATGGCCGACCTGAGTTCGATTCCTCTGCCCCTCTCGGAGAGCCCAGCAAGCTACCGAGAGTATTTCGCCTGCATGGCAGAGCCTGGCAAGCTACCCGTGACGTATTCGATATGCCAAACACAGTAACAACAGACCCCAAAAGCCAAAAAATAAAAATAAATAAAGCAACATTTACATTTGGATGGATTTGGTGGCTGAAGAATTCTTTTTGTTTCTTTTTTGAGTTACACCTGGCAATGCTCAGGGGTTCCTCCTGGCTTTGTACTGAGGAATTACTCCTGGTGGTGCTTCGGGCACCACATGGGAAGCTAGGGATAGAACCCGGGTTGGCGGCATGCAAGGCAAACGCCCTCCCCGCTGTCCTGTCTCTCTGGCCCTGAGAATTCTAGGTTGAAGGCATTTTCCTTTAAAATCCTGATAGCCAGACTCTGCGGACTTCTCTGGCTCCCACCGTAGCCGCAGGTGAAGTCAGCCTTCCTGGTTTGTGTCTCTTTGCCAGCTGTCTGTCTGTCCTCTTTGGGAACGGGGAGGGGCTCTTCGATGCCCTTGGTGCCTGGTGAGCTTGCCATGAGCTGTGTTCGCCTTTCTCGCGCTTGCACTGGCCCTCCTGGTGAGTTCGGCTCTCTTTCCCACGACTCCAGCACCCACCTCACCAATCCCTCATGCCAGGTGCAAGGCCCCCGCCCGCACCCCCCATTCAGAAGTGAAGGAAACCGTTTCAGGAGATCTGAGACGAGAGTGAGAGCAAGCGAGAAAGAAGGGGGAACAGAGAGTGAGCAAGAGAGGAGTGAGGGAGGAAAAGGAGAGGGAGGATGACGAGGAGAACCAGGACATGCATGTGGGTGTGTGCCCTGCACACTGGCGCCTGTGGGTACCCCCCGAAACAGCTTTTCCCCATCTCCTCTTGGTCGCCACACGACCTCCTGGGGGATTCCACTCCATTCGCGCCACTCTTCTCCTGACTTCTGAGCTTCGCTGGCTCACGGTCATCCCAAGCTCATCTCTGCTCTCTTCCTTCCAGGAACTGCCTAGCCCTGTTCAGTGCTCCCGAAACATTCTCTTTCTTGGCAGCGTCAACGGTAGGTTCTTGCCTCCAATTTCCCACTCCGGATGTGGTTAAAAAGATCATTGTATAATTGAAACCCAAGCACAAAAATGTGTAAGTCTGCAACTGTACCTCATGATGTCTCACTATTAAAATTTTTTTAATATGAAAAAATGATAAAAATCATTCATGTACTCATTAGCAGATATGTTTTTCTAGACTAATAATAACAGTATATCATACTGTATCCCTTGTTCCTACTATTTTGTTAACTATATTGAAAAAATTGTCAAGCAATAAATAAAAGGTAAAGGTAAAGGCCCTCCCATTGATCGTCGACTTACTCGAGCGGGCCCAGTAATGTCTCCATTGGAGACTTTGTTGTTACTGTGTTTGGCATATCGAATACATCATGGGGAGCTTGCCAGGCTCTGCCGTGTGGGCGAGATACTCTTGGTAGCTTGCCGGGCTCTCCGAGAGGGGCGGAGGAATCGAACTTGGGTCGGCCATGTTGGCCGCTTATAAGGCGAACGCCCTACTGCTGTGCTATCGCTCCAGCCCAAGCAATAAATGGTCAAATAAAAAAAAAAAGGTTTTCCCTGGGGCCGGAGAGATAGTGGGTAGTGTGCTTGCCTTGACGTGGTTGACCTGAGTTGGATCTCTAGCATCTGGTAGGGTGCCCTGAGCCAGCCAGGAGCCATTCCTGAGCATAGAGTCAGGAGGAAGCCCTGAGGACTGCGGGATGTGACCCACAAACAAACAAAAAATGATTTTCCCAAGTGCATTTGCTCCCTCTTGCCCACAGCCTACTGCCCGCCCCCAGACACACCTGGCTGTCCCCGGCTCCAGAGCTGGATGGAGAAGATCCAGGAAGCTGCTATTCTAAATGGACTTGGTTATGTCTGCTCCTCTGCCTTGACCCCAGACAACCTGTCACAGCTCATGCGCTAGCCACTGGGCTGCCCACCACACAGGGAGTCACTCCCTGGCTTCCTGGGGCTGATCAGAAATCTGGGATTCCTTGCTAAGTTTTTTTTTCTTTTTAGAAGGCGGTGAGGAGGGACCCCCACTCGTGCGGGGTGGCCCCCGTCGTATCCAGCGATGCACAGGGGTTACTCCTGGCTCATGCACTAAGGAATTACTCCTGGCAGTGCTTGGGGGACCATATGGGATGCTGAGAATCGAACCCGCATTGGCCGCTTGCAAAGCAAATGCCCTACCTGCTGTGCTATTGCTCTAGCCCCTTCTCGCTAAGTTCTTTCCCACTGATTAGATCAACTGACTTTCCAACCTCCCCAAATTCGTTGCTGGGTCTCCTTCCTATGTGTCCTGGTTCTTGGGTTTGTGCCCTTAAAATGTTGCCCTTTCTGGGCTGGAGAGATAATACAGAGGGTAAGCAATTGCCTGGCATGTAGCTGACCCTGATTTAATCCCTGGTCCTGCATGGAGTCCCCCGAGCACTGCTGGGTGTGCCCAGCCCCCACCCCTCCACATACCAACACCCCCTTGCCTTTCTGAAAATGTCCTGGGGTTTTGGAAGAGAAACTGCACAGTGCCTCCGGAGGGGAAGTCAGGGTCTGATGTATGCTGTCAAGCCAACTCAACAAGCCTCAAGCCTAGAGGTGGGGGTAACAAGGGCTACAACGCAGAGACCGAGGAGCTGGCTCGAGTTGCAGATCCCCCAAGCACTGCTGGGGGCTGCCCTGTCAAGCTACAAGGTGCGCTTCGGTTCCCGGTACACTGCACATGCTTCCCAGAGGCTTGCAAGAGACCAGCGGCTTCCACCCACCTGTCTTTCCCGAACAGCTTCGCAGTTGAATAAGAAAGTACCAAACCGGCAACTGTACAGATGATCCAAGATGGTAATCAGAAACCGCTCGTTGAACTCGAAAGCTGTAGGAAACTAGATCGAAAACAAACACGCAAACAGGGTTGGAGCACTTGGGAGGGATCTCTCTTGCAGAACTGCAGGGCTGTGGACACAGGGCCAGCCTCGACTGGCAGGGAGGCACCAGGGGGGACAGTGAGCAGCCACTGAACTCCGGGCCCGCGGCAAGTGTCAAGGAGAACACGTGTCTCCTGGGCTCTCCTGAGTACACAGGGCCCACGGCCTAGGGGTGAGGTTAGCAGACAAGCGTCTCTACATGTTACGGGAGAATGAATGCGATAGGCATGGCTGTGTCAGTAGAGATGACACAGTTATGTTGCACTGTTAGGACAAAAATCAGTCACACCTACAGTAGCGACCAAAAAAAAAAAATGTAATTCCCCCCCCCCCCCCCGCCCTTATACCCCTGAACCCAGCCCTTGGCTTCCCTGGTGAATGGCACATGACTAATCTTTTTTCATTTTTCTCTCGGCCCTTTCGGGGTGGGTGTGTGTGTGCAAATCCCAGCGATGACTTCATCGGAAGGTTTCATCATCATCCAAAATGCTTTCTTCTCCCGATCCCGTACCTGTTTCGACATCTGCCACACGCAGTCAATGAACTGGAGGAAGATGGGAGACCGGTCTGCATCGGCGTGGTTCTTATCCCCGTGGCCTATTCTCTGCAGGGAAATGATGGAGACGATCTGTTGGCATTTGCGAGCAAACTGCGAGCGCACGGAATCCACTGAACGTGGGAAACGCAGCAATCTGCCTTCCGACTGCCAAGTTTCCCGAGGAGTAAACAGTGACTTTCTCTATGACAACACGGGACAATAGCAGGGTTTGCATGGGAGTTTGGCCGAGACACACTGGCAAGGTAGCACCTGTGTCCATGTGTGCTCTGCCTGTGGCACGGGACTGGAATGTGGGCGCGCTGCGGGCACACAGGGCCGGATTGTTCTGCAGTGCAGGGTGTATCAGTTGCTAAGGGAACAACCCTCAAGTCTCAGGACTTAAAGCTGTGCCTCAAAGAGTGTGATTGTTATCACGGAAACTGTGTTCTTTCTGAAACACAAGACAAAACCTCCAAAGTGTATTCATTTAAAAAGTGAAGGTGCTTCCTATTTGAAAAGGTTATTCAGACTACTCATGCCATTTGGGTGAAGGTGATGAGGCACACGGCAGCTTCTGGAAACGTCGATGGCTCCTCTCCATGAGCGTCACCCAGGAAGCGTGCTACAAATACTTATTCATAGGGTATCTGCAAAGAAGCTGTTTTGAACATGCCTATCGGATTATCCTAATCAGAAAGCCTCAACTCCCAGGCTGGCATTTCTGTAAAATATTTGTCTTGGGCAGCTAGAATATTAGTCCAGAAATAGAGAACTGTCATTCTCCACTTGCCTGTGCCATTTCCATTTCAACACCTCTAAGCAGACTCTTCGGATGACGTGCGAATGTACTTGTAAACAGTGCAGGTAGATAAACACTCCTGAAAGGACTTGCACGAGCCCAGGGCCTCGGGCATTCTGAAACCGTTAGCATGCTTCCTTTTTAATAGTGAGCAGGCGTTTCACAACTACGTTTGAATCCCACATGGTGGTGATCTGACATTTAGAGGCTTTGCTCTGTTTGTTTACTTACAGATGCGAACTTGTGTCCAAAGCTGATCCATTCTTTCTGCACCAAGATTTCGAAGCCTTCGATGCTCCGGTAGAAGGAGTCCAACATCAGCATGGCCAGGGACGTCAGCTGCGCTGTCCTGTCCCAGCCGTCACTGCAGTGCACGAGCACGGAGCTCTTCCCTGAAGACACTTTGTCTGCCACTTGAATGGCCCCCGTCAGGACAAGCTGGCAAAGAGAAACACCGCGAGTCAGCAGGGAGCCGTGACATTTGCTTCCATTTTTGAGAGCGCGGCATTTAACCCTAGAAAAAGCCCTCCGTGGAAATACTATGGGTGGCGAGACTAGCAAGGTTTGTGGGGAAGGAAGAGGAACTGTTCTTGCTGCAGAAATTGCACTCGACTGCAGCTACGTGTTAAAGGCAACCAACGCCAGGCCTTGCAGCGTCATGTTCATGTGTGTGCTTTGCATGAGTTTGCTGGTGCTGCTATAAAAAGTACCACCGATGTTGGAATTACGTGCACGAGAAGCAATCAATACCAGTATTGCAAATGGCAGAATATCAATCAGTTAAACAACAAAAGGACCACAGGTTAGGTGGCGTAAGCAACGGAATTCTGTCTTCCTGGTGCTGGAGGCGACGGGGAAGGGTACCCTGGCCCTCTCTCATGGCTCCGGGGAGGTCATGCTCATCTGCCCAGACTGCTCCCCCTCTGGGTGGCTGTGCGTTTCCAAGGCCCCCCTTTGCCCCTGGGGACCCGGGAGGAAGCCAGTGCAGTGGGGACTCCTACCTAACGGCATCTGGAGCATCCCTATTGCCACAGCAGCTCACCCTCTGAGGTACTGTGGGGTCAGCACTTCAACATATGGACGGCGGTCTGGTCCAGAGAATGTCACCTAGCGGGAAAGGTGAGTGGTGGAGATCCTTTAAATGGACAGAGCTGAGGGCTGGAGCAATAGCACACCGGGTAGGGTGTTTGCCTTGCATGTGGCCGACCCCGGTTCAATTCCCAGCATCCCATATGGTCCCCTGAGCACCGCCAGGGGTAATTCCTGAGTGCAGAGCCAGGAGGGACCCCTGTGCATCGCCGGGTGTGACCCAAAAAGCCAAAAAAAAAAATTAAAAAAAAATGGACAGAGCCGGGTGCCCCACATGGCTCAGTGGCAATGAACCTTCCTGTGAGAACACAGCTGTGAGTTCGAGCCTCAGCCCCAGCCCATGTGCACTAAGCTTTAGCCGAACGTCTCTCTGCAGATGGCATGGGTGCCTTCCCGTGATGCTCAGAGGCACAGAAGTTCTCCTGAATCTTTGATATCATTTTTGGGGGGGGGTGGGGGAAGGGAGCAGATCTGCTTCACAAATCACAGATGGGAAGCCCCTGAGTGGCATGTGCCTTTTGTGGGGGAGAGGCAGAGAGGTGTGTGGCCGTGAGCCTGGCCCACCCAAAGAAGCCCAGCTCGGAACGGCCCCTGGACCACCTGCGGCCAGCCTGCTCCCACACTCAGCCCCAGGCAACCGCTGCTTTGCCTTCTGTCTCCAGTTCTGGGATCACGAGAGAAACCCCAGAGGTCCCACTCAGTGAGATGCACCCAATTGGGCTGGGTTGCTCAATGGTTAGACCCTGCAGCACCAAGGATCAGCGAGGCTACACCTGGCAGGGCTGGTGGGGTTGGCTATGTGGCGTCCCTGACCTCTGTGCTTCCTCCCATGCCTCCCGCTGGTTGACAGACACCTGCTTGTTCCTAGCCGTGGTGTCCTCTGAAGAACGCCATTAGCGACTTCTCCCTAAGCCATCTCTGCAGCGACAGCCAGCCTTTGCTTCTCTGGGTAAAGGCCTAGAGCAGAGAAGCGGGCCCGAGGGCGCAGTGGTAGGTCTGGTTATGGGTCTGAGTTCACTCTCTTGGGCTCGGGGCTCCACGCAGTGGTGACAGGGCCAGTCCTGGCTCAGGGATCGAGACCCTGTGGTGCCGGGAGTCCAACCTGGGCCTCGCGCATGGGAGCATGAGAGCCAGAGCCACTGAACGGGCTATGGGGCATGACGCTGGGGCCCCCGGGTCATACTGCTGTTTGGGGACCACATGGGGCTAGGGTGGCCCTCAGAGCCTCCACGTGTGCTAGGGATGTGCATATCCCACTGAGTCATATCCCTGACCAGACTCTTTGTGTTTTTTAATTTTTGGCCACGCCCAGTGGTGCTCAGGGCTCACTCTGGCAGGGGGATCATCTGTGGTGGCAGCGATCACATTAGGGGCGGCTGTGTGCAAGGCCAGCACCTTGCTTGCTGCATTATCTCTCTGGCCCCCTACTTAATGTTTTAAGAAACTGGCCAGTTGTTCTCACAGGTGCTCGTACCTCTCCCCCCACCCCTCAGCGCACACACAGTGCTGTTTTGGTGCAGATGGCCATTTGCGGCCATTTCGCTCCCGCAGAGCAGCAGACACGAGTATGTACTGCGGTCATGTTGCTTCGCTGAAAGCAATGGGAATTCTCATCTCTTTCCACTCATGCACACAAATGGCAGACTCCATGCAAGATCTCCCTGTGGACAATTTCTAAGGGAGGCAATTGGACCACTTTGACACAAATGGAAACTATGGAGAAGTGGGCAAAAGCGTTCTCCAAAGGTGAGGTTGAGGGCCTAATGACATATCCATTACACGGCTAAAAACGTGGCGTTGCAGAGGCCAGCATCCCCAGCGTCCACTGCCCGCAAAGCCCGGTTCTGTTCTGAGTTTAAGGCCTGTGTGAAGGAGGGCCTGTTGAGATGTGAGGGGACTGCAGGGGATCGCTTGAGTCTGACTTAATGAAGCTGAGGAGCTCACCATGGCGGGCGGTGTGGGGGGGGGGGCATGTGCGCTCCAGCGCCTTCCTCGCTAATACCACAGGGCTAGCATCTCGGCTGGGTTTCTTGAAAAATATTAAGACAGTTTTCCAATAAAGTATGGATTCCCCGCCCCCCCCACCCTTTCTGATGGGAATAGCTATAATTATCTAATGAAACGAAATGAGATTTTTATTTTCAAAAGCACATCCCTGAAAACCCTTAACTAATTGGTGGGACTTGTGACCGCTGGGAAGAAACTCCAAGAAATAATCCCTGCAATGCGCTGACAACTGGGCGTGTGTTCAGCCCAGTCTTTCCAAACAGCACGCAGTCATATGTCACGGGGAAACGGGCAGGGCTGAGGGCGCAGACTGCTGAAAAGGACAAAGAAAATGTCAGCTCCAGAAACTAGAGACCTCCTGGGGCTCCATCAGTGGAACAGAACGAGGAGGTGGGACAGAGGCCACGGGCTGGCTGCCCACCCAAAGCAATGCTCACCGAACACGTCTGGAGCCCAGCGTCTGGGAAATTGAGCCCCCCCCCCCTTCTGTGGGAGCAGGGGCTTTTAAGGAATCAACGACCCCCGGCACATGGGAGTCTCCGGCTTACCCAGGCTGGCCCCGCGGGATATCCCGCAGGTCCTGCTCAGAGCTGCGGTTTCCCGGGCCGAGAGTGAGGTCACGTGGCCACAAGCCGAGCAAGGCCTGCTATGGATGGAAATGGGAAGAGGCGAGGGATGCGCTTGCTTGCGGGGCTTCCAGAAGGAGCCAGCCCAAAGGGCCTGGGTCAGTGTTCTGGAAAGCCTTCCGCACCTGCAGGCTGTCACCTGCCTTGCATGCAGGCGCCTGGACTCGCAGTTAGAACCTTCCTGTGGGCTGGTGTCCATCTGTGCCCGGAGACCTCTAGCCTAGACAACTCCCGCCCCAGCTGCAGGGCCTGCTCAAGGCTGCCCACATCCCCACTGCCTGCCGAGAAGCCCAGGACAGAGGTGGCTGCAAGTGTCCATCCAGGCTCCCAGGGCAACCTGCACTTCATCTCTTCCTTCTGTCTCTTGCTCTTTAGGGAGCAAGAAGAGAACACTCACGGCATCAACTCCTCCGGAGTCCCCACTCCCATAATTCCTCTTGAGCAGACAAGCTGGCGCCCGAACTTCATGCCTGCCCCCCTTCTGGCTGGCTCTGACCTGGAGGGACCCAGCCCACTATACCTTTGGGCCCCCATGCTCTGTCCAACTGCAGGCCTCTGCAGGCCTAGTCGCTGGGAGAAAGCAGACCGAGGGAGCCAAGACCCACACCCGAAGGGACCATCAGAGCTGCCGGCCCACGTTAATGCCGAAAGGACGACTGTGAGCACGGTGCTTATCCTGCCAGCCTTCTCCCAACACAAACACATTACTCCTGGCATGGGTGCTCGGGCTTCTCGTCCACACTTTATATGCCGCATTTCCTTCACTTATTAAATGCCAGCTTACACCATCTTTCATGACCAAACAGTCATTCACTAGCCGCCCACCTTTTTTTCCCCCATTTTTTTTTTCCACGAGCGTAAACATAGTAGCCTATACATTTTTCCTCCAGATCTGTGACTATTCTCTTCCAAAAGAGCGAAACGAAAGCAACCACCTCCAATACCGGTAGCTTAGTGTTTTGTCTACAAAAGCCCTTCTCGAATCGCTTGCCTCTCACCCTCCCCGCCACTTCATTTAAAAGCTCTGTTCAAAAGAACCGTCTCTCTTCACTAACTCTATTTTCTCCTCTTTCTTCCATCCACTGCCAGATGCCCAGAAAAGTCTGCTCTCCCGGCCCTCAGCAAGCCCCTTTTCCGAGTCGTGAAGCCCCCCTGACACGTCTCACCTCCTCCCCTCTCATGCCAGTATTGTTCTTGGCGCTGCTGATGGCTCCCCGGACCCCCCACACTGAGCGCCATCCTCGCCGCCCACCTAGCCCGAGTCCCTTGGGCTCCTGGCACCCCCTCTCTCGACACCTTCACTCAGGGGCCGCCCCGTAGCTCACTCCCCAGTGTGCTGACTTCCCCTTTGTAGGAAACCCTGCCTGCTGGGGGCGGGGGCACACCACCGGGGGCATGGACTGCCGCCACGAATGCCCCTGAACTACAAAGGGGGTGCCACTGTCTCGTAGGCAGCCTCGCCCTCTTGGTGTGATCCACCATTTCCCTGGCTCCGAAATCTGTGCAGTGCCACGGGTTCTTCTTGGGAGACATCTGGTGTGTGAAAGGCCGTGGGCCTCCCCCCTCCCGGCCCAGCGCCATTCCAACCTCAGCCATGGCTGCCCCATCTCGGGCTTCTTGAAACGGTTCTGCTTTCTTTAAGCTCCCTTGCTGCCCTCACCGCTTCTATTCTACTCTGCTCTGCTAACCGTTTTCTAGAAGATCCCATTATTCCCAAATTTCTGGGACCCCACCATTGAAAAACGTAATCGATCCCTGGTTTGGGTGGTTGTTCGTCCAACTCTCATGGGTACAGAATCCCTCATTCTCCCAGACATGGCCTCATCCGGGGTGCCCTCTGGCTTCAGCACAGGTACCCTTACTTGCTCTATTTTCTTCAGGGCTACCCACTGACAACCACCGAATCCCAAAGGACCTGTCCCTTCCACTGACTTCGCCACGAAAGCCCAGCACTCCTTAACGCCCAGTGCCATGATGTTTTGTTCACACACCAGTCATACTGGCATTCACGAGCCTCCTTCAGGATGGAAAGTATCTGAAACTGAAGTAGCTTTGCACACAACAGAAATACAACCTTGTCTTAAAGTACTCCCTAAACAGGGGGGGTATTTCTTCTTCAAAGAAACACACAATGTATTTACAGGGAAACTGTAAAGAACAACTTTTTGTGGCAAGGTACAATTCGACTTCAGAAAGTTCTGGAACATCTGACCGATTTCCCTATGACTGGCATCTCATGATACCAGAGTGCACTTGTCCCAGTGCTTGACTGGGAAATATTCTACCTTATACTTGTTTAGAGCAGGCTTTCTGTTTGTTAACAGAGGCAAATGGAACTAAATGGACAGCTTTAAGTAATTCTACTTGCAAAATGAGGTTTTTAATGCCTTTAGCAAGATGGGGGATTGAATACAACGAAACACAGAGATCTTTGCTTAAAAATCAGTCTGTATGTGATTAATTCCAAGAAAAAAATCTCTCCAAGACCTTGAAGGTCACACTCAGTCATGGTTAGATAAACTTGCATGAAAGACTAACTGCGTTCTCTGTATGAATGAGATGGTCAGTATTATCTCTACAAACTGTTAGCCATAGCCTGGAAGTCATGCTGAGAACTTGTCAATTGAGCATTCTAGAGAAACACAACAGCCAAGTGCCAGGGAGAACCCTACCACCACCACATACCACAAATATTTCCCCTTCACTATTCAATATATTTTAATTAAAGGAATTAAATGCACAAGCCACAAAGCCATCCCTTTCTATTTTTATATATGTTAAAATATATACTTGCCTTGATGTGCTCTAACCAATGAGTTGACTCCAAGCTGGATAACCAATGAGACTCTTCCACATTAGGGTAAACAATATCTTTGACCTTTTTCAAAGATTCCCGCATGACATGGATGTTATGAATGTCTAAGAAGAAAAGTTCAGCGTTATGATACGCATCATCACTTTCATATCCTCCTCCTGTTGCCTGGGAGACAAGATAAACAAACAGTCAATTGGGTTTGCTCTTTCATCTGCAGCTCACACGAAGGTTGCAAAAGCTATTGTTGCTCCAAATCAATGGAAAAGCCTCCAACATCGGTACAGGAAGTGATGAGATGCCATTTCCTACCCAGCAGAAACCTCAACAACTCTGGGGGTACTTGCAGCTTTAGAAAAAAAAATGTCAGGATGCCCATTGCCTTGGGAGGGACAGTGTGACAAAGCATCATTTCTCAAAGGTCCTGTGATTACTGGGAAGGCCAGAAGAGGTCCTGAATGATCCCCACTGCCCCACCAAACATACACACCAGCTTTGCAACAGCATTCTTGTGGCGGGGCATATCACAGTGTCGTGTCACCTAGGTCATGATAGACTAGTGGAAAAGAATAGGCCCAGCTGTTAGATCTGCTTGAGTCCCTGGGCTGTGAGTTCTGGGGCAAGGCACTCAACCACTCTGGGACTCACAGTCCTCATCTACAGAACAGTTCTCACAGGATTAAAGGTGCCACACTCGACGACAGCTAATTCCCGTCACTGCTTAATGAACGCCGAGGACATCTCTGGCCCTGCGATTCTTGCTTTATACATCTTTCTCTCTTATGGCAATAATGCAAGATAGGCATCGTGAGTCCCGTCTGGCAAATGAGAAAAGGAGCTGCTTCATCATCCCCAAAGTCACACATGATCAGTGGAACTGAAGTTCTCTGACTTCACAATCGGACCTGTTTTCTGTCTCTTAACTCAGCAAACACTGAGAGCAGAACACAGTGTGCCGTGGCCTTCCAAGAGCGCTTTGCAAAGGTTCAAGAGGGGTGTCTTCAGCGTGTCCCCCCCAGCCACTGCAGCACCTCCAAATTCGGACTTGCCAGGCGGGCACTGGGGCACTGTCATAACAGGAGGAAAATGCCCATTTGACATGAAGGGTCAGAGCAACACGAGGAGCCTGGCTTGAGCCTGCTTCCCATTTCACATGGCCATGGAACATGGGGCCTTCTTTGGGGGCAAGTTATCCATTTGGACACTGGAAAGAACGTGATGCTACTCAATGCCCTATTTTTCCTATTTGTTTTTATGGAACTGGAAAGGGGAAGTTTGGGAAGGACAATGTACCCAATGGCTTCTTTCACACTCAGTGACAGAAGTTTTGTGCAAAAGAAAGGCCGGCACGCCTATGGACAAGCCAGAGGTCTTGGTCCCCCAAGATTCCAGGCAAGGAGAGAGGCAGGGTCTGGAAACTAAGAAAGATGTCTTTCAAAGCGGTTAAACGCAGCGTCAATAGACTGCCAAGCTTCACTGTGCTGGCTTCAAAAAGTGACTCGTTAATGAAGTGACTTCTCATTTGTCAAGGAAGGGCACCGTGCCACTGCACAGAGGTGCCCACGACTGGCCAGGGAGGGTACAGTGAGGCCGTGTCTCTCCTCCTGTAAGCCTACAGTTCCCTGGCACGTATCACTCTCTCCAGCTTCACAGCACATGTGGTTTCTCAATAGCTAAGGCAATTTTTTCAGAGACTCAACTCAGAGCTTCTTTCATAAGTAACTGAAGATGATATGTGGCAGAATTGAAAGGAAAAGGACTCTTATTACTCAGGGCTGAGGTTTCAAGCAAAACCGGCTATTAATCCACTTCCCTTGTGATTCAGTGCTGGGTCCGGGTGACCCTGGGGCTTCATCTGTTTGTTAAATTGAAAATGGTGTGAGGCTGCTGGGTACAGCAGACAAGACACACTGGCGAGGGGAATTTTCTCAATAGCCACGTGGAGGGAACAATTTGGTCTAAGGAGAACAACTGGGAAGGTGCAAATCAAAAAGTCAAGTGCGGCTAGACTGTCCCAAAGTTCCAATTCTCCATGTCTGCTCAGTTTTGAAATTCACTGTTTGCTGCTTCCCGCCTTTTAATGAAAAACCCAACCCAGCCCCCCTTAGAGGACACTGTGTTGGTCTCAGGGCCCACTGCTATGCCACAGAGGGCTGGGCAGAGTTGCCAGGGGAGGAGAGGGTCCTGAGTGTGAGTTTCCAAGAATGACACGGGGATCTTTATGTTCTTGCAATTCTGAAAATTCAGAATCCAGTATGCTTCCTTCTTAAGGCACGCCACACCAAATACATTTAGGGTTATGTAAGTGTTTCTCTCAATGCCAGCTACAGCTTATGAGTAGAAATAGATTATTCTAGAAAATCACATCTTTCTTGCCCCATTTTTATTGGGGTAGTACTGGCTTGTGAGAGTGTGTATGTTCTAGGAGCACTGTGTGAGCACATCACACCACCCGTCCAAGGGCCAAGAGCAGCCCAGCACACTCACTGGGTCCCGCCACCTTTCTCATCCAGCCCCACCCCCTTTGGGAGCCAAGAATGACGGCAAGAGCTTTACAGCATAGGTTTCGGCTATTCTTTTCGGTCCTAAGACGCCTAGAAACCCAAGTATATTTCTGGCATGCTAGAGAGGCATTACAATTTTGCTTTGACGAGGACCTCCAGCATTTTCATAACGAGGGTACGTCGTATATTTTAACATTTTAAAATACTCCTTCTAAATGCTTCATTATTTATTTGGTTTGGGGGCCATACCCTGTGATGCTCAGCACTTACTCCTGGCTCCGTGCTCCAGGATCACTCCTGGCTATGCTCAGGGCACCGTATGTAAACCTGGGTCATTTGCAAGCAAGACAAGAACCTCACCGCCTGTCCTATCCCCCAGTACTTAATATTTCATTCCAATGCTCCATCCTATCTATTTCAGGCTAAATGTATACACGGAATGATTGCGTTTTGTCCACACATTTCTCTCGCAAGGATAGAAATATAAACTAGGATAATCTATGCTGATATTCATAAGTGACTTAATTTCTTAAGTGTTTTACTTATAATTTCAAATTTTCTTGCTGATTTAACTTCCTGATTGCTTGATATGGCATTTCAAACCCATGTTTACTGCTGGCGGCGCACAGAGGGGGTTCCCAGGAAGAAATGTGATGGGACGCGGGGTCTTCCTGCCAGCTCACCATTGAGTGAGCAACGCTTTTGACCTGAGCGCTTGAGGGCTGGCCTGGTTACCGGCTCTCAACTTTGTGTCATTAAAGAACTGAAGGGGAGGCTGGAGAGATAGCACAGCGGGTAGGGCGTTTGCCTTGCACGCGGCTGACCCGGGTTCGATTCCCAGCATCCCATATGGTCCCCTGAGCACCGCCAGGAGTAACTCCTGAGTGCAGAGCCAGGAGTAACCCCTGTGCATCACCAGGTGTGACCCAAAAAGCAAAAAAAAAAAAAAAAAAGAAAAGAAAAAAGAACTGAGGGGGCCAGAGGACAATCTTGGGCAAAGCAAAGCGCTCCAGAGGCCAACATGGAGGCCACAGCTGACAGCAAAGCAACCCTCTGAGAGGTGGAAGGTGGAATGGGGTGAACGCTTGAGGTAGGCCACAGGTAGACAGTGCCTGGGAGGGACAGGTGACTTCAGCAGGAGGAGAGAGAAGTGGAATGGAACAGGAGCCACTGGATGGACAAAGGAGATGAGTGTGCACTGCTCGGTCGCCACCCTCTGGAGCACTGAGGTTTATGATGACCTGTTGCAGCGGCAGCGAGCAGGGCACCTGGCCTACAGAGCTTCTGCAACCAGTGACACCAGACACATGGTGCCGGAGGACAGTGCTGGGGCTGAGGCACAGCTGACCTGGGTTTGATGTTTGCACCATGTGAGAGTCCTCCGAGCCCTGCCAGTGACAAGATCGGAGTTTCAGTGACAGATTCCTCCAAGTCCTCACAGATGCCTCTGGAGTGTATCTCTTGAAAGAGGTCCTCAACTGTTTCCAGTGCCCCAGCGAGACTCTGCTTGATGCTGGCCCCAGTCTAAGTGGATCACTGTTATACGAATCACGACCATCCTATTATTCGTTGATTGCCTCAAGCAGGCCCCAGTAACGTCCCCTTCATCCTAGCCCTGAGATTTTTAAGAAAGTGCTATATTCAAGGCTCTTTAGGAGAATGAGAGCCTTCATTGTTACTGGTATTTGGCATATTGGGTACGCCACGGGGAGTTTGCCAGACTCTGCCCTGTGGGCAGGCTACATTCGATAGCCTGCAAGTTTGTCCAAAGTAGGAATGAGATAATAAGATGTCATAATAAGATGTTCCAGGAGCAGTTCCAGGAGCTGGGTTTTATAGTCTCTGAGTCTTGGCCGTTGATGGAATTACACGGCGCCAGGGGGCCATTTGGTGGGTGTGACCCCTGCCTACTGGAATTCGGAGGATCTGGGTGGAGGATGCTCAGCCCCGATCCGAGTAGGCTTGGAGATCTCAGCCCTGGGACCCGCATGCCTTTGTTCCTCTGCCGGTACCTTCATGTGTGCGGAGAGTGGTCTCAGCATGGTGGTGGTTGGTCCTGGAGGTCTTCGGCTGCCGGAGCCCTGGTTGGGGCGGGGAGGAAAGCTCAACCCTCTCCCCTCCAAGGGGCCCCAGCGAGGACAGCCAGGCGCAGGGGCAGGAGACTGGCATCTCACAGTTATACACTTGCCATATTTTACCTAAGGGTGTTTTCAACATGGAAGTGTTTTTTGTCACTTGTGATTGGGGAAACGCAAATCAAAATGGCAGTGAACTCTCACTTCCCACTGTGAGAAGCGCATATGGCAATTGTGGCAGGGTTATGGTGAGAAGGGCCCCCTCATTCGCTGTGGGTGAGGATGTTATCTGGGTCAGCCTCTGTGGGAAACAGTATGGAGAGGGGCCAGAGAGAGAGTACAGTGAGGATGGCATCTGCCTTGCAAGTGGCTGATCTGCGTTCAATCCCTGACTCCCAATATGGTCCCCCGAGCTTGCCAGGAGTGACCCGAGTGCAGAACCAGGGCTAAGTCATGAACACTACTGGGCATGGTCCAAATAAGAAAAAAGGATTACAGTTTCAATTTCCTTGATGTTAATAGATCTAATTCAGGTACTCTAGATCTTCTTGATTCAGCTTCGGGAGATGAAGTCATGAAATTTACATACAAGTGGTACTACATGGAAAGTATCATGCTAAGTGAAATGAGTCAGAAAGAGAGGGACAGACATAGAAAGACTGAATTCATCTGGGGAACATAAAGTAACAAAATAAGAGACTAACACCCAAGAATAGTCGAGATAAATACCAGGAGGGTTACTCCATGACTTGGAGGCCAGCCACACACTCTAGGGGTAAATGCAGCTCAAATAGAGAAGGGAGCACCAAAAAAAGGTGTTGGGAAGATCCGCCCAGGATGGGAGATGCATGCTGAAAGTAGACTATAGACCGAACATGACTGCCACTCAATTTCTCTTTTTCAAACCACAGCACCCAAAAGGAGAGAGAGAACAAAAGGGAATGCCCTGCCACAGAGGCAGGGTGGGATTGTGGGGGTGGGGTGTGGGAGGGACACTGGGATCCGTGGTGGTGGAAAATTGGCACTGGTGGAGGGATGGGTACTCGATCATTGTACAACTGAAATCCAAGCACAAAAATTTGTAAGTCTACAACTGTACCTCATGGTGTTTCACTAATTAAAAAAAAAGAAAAAAGGAAAACAGTATGGAGAGTTGTCAAATAGGTAGAACAGAAGTCCCATAAAGCTCAGTGATCCCATTGCTTGGCATCTCCCGCAAAACACAGAAACACTCATTCCAAACGAGCTGGGTGGCCTTAAATTCACTCCAGAGCTTCATCACTAGCCAGGAAAGGGAAAAAACCCAAAAGTCCAACAACAGGTGGGTGGGTATAGAAGCCGTGGTATCTATCCTCAGTGGAATACTATGCAGCTGCAAGGAAAGACAAAAGCTTGCAGTTTGCTGCAACCTGGATGGAACTGGAAAGGATCATGTTAAGCAAAGTATGACAGAGGGACAAAGGGAAACAAGACAAGAGAATAGACAATACTGAATGAGAAAAAGCGGTGGCCGTTGTCTATCAAACAATAATACCAAGCAGTGGAGTGAGGGGGTGGGAGAAATGAAGGGCCAGGCTAGAACTGACAGGACAGTGGTGGTCTTGGGCACTTTACTGGTGGTGAAGGTGCAGTAACTTTGCACATCAAAGCCATAAACACAAGTGCTACTTCGAACAGGTTACCTAAACTAGCATGTACTGAATATTTATATATCATATGTTTCAATATATAAAGGTTCTTTCCACTTGACTGTAATGTACTCAATTTTGGCTCAGATACATTGTGTGATTAAAACTACTTCTATGGGGGGGCGTGGAGAGATAATATAGTGGGTAGGGCACTTGCTTTGCACATGGCCAACCTAGGTTTGATCCCCGGCATCCCATATGATCCCTGGAGCCCACCACAAATAAGCCCTGAGCCAAAAGTAAGCCCTGAGTACCACTGGGCGTGGATCTCTCCTACCCCAAACACAGAAAATGAACTACTTATGCCAGAGCAATAGTACAGTGGGGAGGATGTTTGCCTTGTACATGGCCAACCTGGGTCTGAACCTCAGCAACTCATATGATTCCCCAAGCCCCACCAGCAGTGAGCCCTGAGTGCAGCCCTGAGCATCGCCAGGTGTGTTCTAAAAACCAATGGACCAAACAACAAAAACAGCCTGCTTTTATGCTCTGTGCATGGGTTTTCTTACTTAAGCAAGTATTGCCTATTAATTCAAACCTGTACTTGATTTCAGCCCATGCGGATACATCACCAGAAACAAAAGAAACACTTGTCAACGCTGGTTTCCCAGGAAGGCCAGTTCCCATCTCGCCGCTAAATGCACTTACCTTATTGGCCACTGCATTCACACTGGGTCTGGCATCGTAGATGGTGAGTTTAGCGATTTGTTTATTGGTCTCCCTGATCACATCGAGATACTTCTCATCATCTCTATTCCGCTTGCCACTCATGCCGACAAGAGGCTGGCTGCAGCGCACAATGACCGTCTTGTTTTCAGGATGAATCCAAGACAGCACCTGTGGTTGAGTGCAGACATGAGAAGGCAAACCTCCAGAACCTCCCAGGGGCCTGAGGCAAAGTGAAGCATTCGCGGGGACGATGAAGTGCCTTGGATTTTGCTGAAGTGGGAAATGCGATCACCTGCTGTTTCACTGTGTGTGCCCAGAAACACCCACTTAACAGTGGTGACTGTGAAGAGACAATTAGAATAACCAATCCCTTTACTCAGCTTCCTGGAGTTAGCACCACCTACTAGGGATTCTCAGCTAAAAACAGGTCTACTGCTTCAAAGGAGGAAAAAAGCTTAGGCGAGTCTTGCAATCCCGAAGCTTGCATTGGGTTTGTGATCACCCCGAAACTGCTTTAGCAACAACCACAAAAACAAACAACAACAACAACAACAACAGCAACACAGAGAGATGAGGGACTCATCTCCCTGGTGTGCTAGATGCCTCATAGTCCAAAGCCATACCTTCAGGTCATTTCCCCAGCAGTCCCAATTCTTGAACTTCCCATGAAGACAAGTAATCACCGTGAGGTGAGAAAGCTCTCAGGACAGCCTACGGAGTTTGAAAGCAGGCAACGGTGGCCTGGACAGCTGATTCCCAGGAAGAGTGCTTTGAGCTGGTTCTAAAGCAGACATTTCTCTATACAAGGGAAGCACTTCCACAACCTGGCCTCACCTCAGGAAACATTGAGAAAAAGATTGTACAATCGCCACTATACTCACAGCCGATCTCCACAGGCTCAGAACCTCATCTGTGAGTGAGTCTTTCACTCCAGGAAAGGCTTAGTTTCTATCTTCATTTTTTTTTATTTTAATTTTTTAAATTTTAAGTTTTTAATTGCATCACCTTGAGATACAGTTACAAAGCTGTTCATGGTCAGGTTTCAGTCATACAATGTTCCAACACCCATCCCTCCAGCAGGGTGCATTTCCCACGACCAAGGACCCGAGTTTCCGTCCTGCCACCCCCTCCCCCAGCCTGCCTGGCCTTTATCTTCTAATCTATACAGGGGATGAGGCCAGCACTGCCCAGCAGGCAAGACCTGGGCTTCCAGAGATCACAGACTCCCACGTCCCTTTCAATTCAACTGTTTGAGGCTTGCTGAGGTCTCACTGCCGTACACAGCAGTCCAGGCTCACGGCGTGCCAACGAGTTGATTTGCTACAAGACTGTTTGGAGGGCAGTGCTCGAGTTTCAGGGGTCATGTCTGGCAGTGCCAAGGTCCGGAGCTCCTCCTATAGTTCCAGGGGTCCCTAGGGCCACAGCCAGCAGTGCTGGGGAGAGACCATATGGTGCGGGGAATGATGGATCCTAGGTCTCTCTATCACTTGATTCACAGTCCTGGTCCCTGATAATCACTTTTGAAAGAAAAAAGTGGGAACAGAGACAGTGGGAACAGAGACACAGCTAAAAGCTCAGGCTTGGCATTCAGGAGGTCTGGGTTCTATGCCTGGCACTGCAGGTCGCCAGGGCACTGCTGGGAGTGACTCCTGAGCACGACTAGGTATTGCTCCCAAACAAAAAACAAACGAAATTTATTTCAGTATTATTGGGCCAGAGAGAGCATACAGGAAGAAAGGCTCTTGCCTTGCAAGCTACTGGCAGGTCCCTCTGAATATTGCCGGGGTCACAGGGCCAAGAATAGCTCCTAGGCACTGCCAGACCCTCAAACACTTGCACAAACAAATGAACTGATGCAACGAATAAATCCAATGTTAAAAGCACACACTGCTACACAGCCGAGGTCTGTACTATTGGCCAGAAGGCGGCTCCACACTTTGCTGAGGGGCCCCTGGAGCCACGGCAGGAAACGGGGCTCAGGAGCAGCAGATTCTCAGTTCCACCCATCATATGCCTTCATTGGGGTCTCAGCTCCCTCTCCGAATGCCTGCCGCTCTTCAAGCTGGCCAGGTACCATGCAGCTACTTTCACATGTCAGCGAGTATGTGTGCGACATACTTCCAGCAGCCCAAGAAAATGAACGCACACATCGAGTTAACTACTGAGAGTTGTCCTACAACAGCCTTGTTTGGAAGAGCAAATAGAAAAAGGAAGTAGGAGTTTCCTAAGTGAAAGGGGTAGATCTGCATGCAGTTATCAGTCAGCATGCAAAGTTCTTTCCAAGATGATGCAAAGTTCTTTCCAAGATGAGTGAGAACACAGGCTGCGATAAACTACTGAGTAAGTTCATGGATTCCTAAAGACAAACATGGATGCACGGAGGCAAGGCTAAAGCCACAGACTAGAACGGTCACAGTGGTTCTCACTAGGCGGCAGACTCCATTTTGCTTATCGGGATTTTTCTGAACCATCTGAAATAAGGTTAGATTCCTTAGATGCTAATGACTCCCATAATATTTGGACAAACCTGTTTGAGACCAGAGGAATATGTATCTGGTAATGGGAACCTGAATGCATGTGGATGATTTCATTCTCCAGTACTATTCTATTTGTACATTTTCGGTGCTCAGCATTTCCAGATTGTTTTCTTACCAATTCTTGCATTATTTTTACGTGGCCTTTTGCAAAGAACTGAGGAGCAACTACTGAAACTGAAAGCACAAACAATTTTGGGGTCACAGCCAAAAGACAGGTGGCTAGAAGGTGTGCTAGAAAGAGCACGAGATCTACTTTCAACATGAGCAAGCACAACATCTATAAAGACAAAGATGCCATAGAAAGCTTAGCTGTGTATTTGTCAAATGTCTAATTGGTGGTCTTTATAAAGTAGGAATTTTCAAGAAGATAATTAGAAGCTAAGCCTTTGACTTGTTCTATAGTGCGCTCTCACTGACCAAGAACAAGCACTCTAGGGCCAAGATGGCAGCCTGGGCACTGGAGACTGAGCACAGTTGCATCGTTTTGGTTGAGACTGCTATTCCTCTGAATGTCCTCAAATCCCTAGAGAGGTCTCCTTTCCCATACCTCCCTCTCCTGCTTCTCTTCTCTCCCCCTCTCTCTCTCACACACACACGCACTCACAACTTTTGACACAGCCAACACTCAGTAAATGCTAATTGAGAAAGTAATTACGGCTACTCCGGTTCAGTTCTCTTCGCGAGCAAGACAACGCATTACCAAGACAGTTGGCCAGGGCAGGAGCTCAGTCTGTGGTCATGACACAGAAAAGCATGTCCAAATAGAGGAGGTGAGGAGGAATGTGTAACTCTAGTTTCCTTAGCCCCATGTTCTAGCAAAATGAGCTAAAGAACCTACTTGCACGTACAATCTATATCTAAAAGATATGAACAGCATTCGTAATTAGAAAAGCAAATCATTTAAAATGTTATAATGGTATTATGTTGACAGTAGTCAAAGTAATGCAAATATCCTTTTAAGGGAAAGAATGTCTAGACTTCGAAGTTCAAGGCAAAGGTGATATTAAATCTTCATTTTTTTGTCCCTTGTTTTCCAGCTTTGAAAAAAAAAAAAAACCTCAAACCAAACAATGTGCTTATTATGACATGTCCTGAAAATTAACAGAGAGGGGGAAGATTCTCTAAATTCTAGTTCCTAAAATTTATGGACACAAACGAAGTGGCCTGACACATACATAAACAGTTGGGGATCAAAGAGAACTTTGTGAACTAGGTCCAATAATACCAGAAGTAGACTGTCGGCAATAGTCTGCACTCAAGTTCCATTGGCCAAGGGTTCTGAGGCAGCTTGCACACTAGGGGAAGGGCAGCTATCCCAAGGGTATAAGTAGACCCAGGAGCTCGCTCTGTGTGCTCTCTGACCTCAGGGAGTGCATTCCTGGTGTGGGGACTCAGTTAACACTGATCAAGTGCCTGCCGTGTGCAAGGGTGTGTAGGAAGTCATAAACCACCCAGGGCTCCTCCTCCACCCCTCTCTCCCAGCGCGATGGCTGGGAGCTCCTGCCAGGCAGCTTGCACTCCCTTCTTTTCTTCTCAGCATGGGCATCACCCACCTAGATGGCACGGTTCGCCGGGACTAAAAGGCACCCTTGGAGCAAAGGCCTGCATGGCAATACTCACGGGAATTCGATTTCGTGATCTGAAAGTCGCAACTCTCCTGAGATCGTCATCCGAGGTGCGGTAGGGAACCACCAAAAGGGCAGGGTAAGTGTCACACAGTTCATAGCACTTGTTAACAAAAGTGATTCTCCAATGGGTGTTGGGTAAGCCCTGTAGGAAAAGAGGAAGTCCGAGTTAGTAGCGTCTGACTTCATCTCTGCCCTGGGCGTGGGTCTCCTGTCTCTCTCTAGTGGAATTTGCACATGCTTCTCTCACCATGGGTAGTGACCTTTGACTGAGGGATAACTGGGGAGCCAAATCAATAATCCAGACAACAGAAGAACACGAGACAAAACACTGGTGGCTGCCATCAATCAAAATTATTTTTGGTAAACAGAGTTTCTCTCTTGACTTTGAGAGCTTCATTTACTTCTAAACTACTCTTTACTACTTGGACAACAAAGAAACATCCTAGATTTACCCGTCACCCCACCCCGAACACAGCACATCCTGCCATCTTAATCTGTGTCTTGGGAAGGGTAGTGAGGAGAAGTGGTAGCTTGCTCTCTTCACTCCATACGGAGTGGAGGCTCCAGTCTGCTCCAATACAGGAAGAGGGTACGTTTATGCAGAAAACCACAGACGGAAGGAAGGCAAGGAAAAGCCCTCTGGGGAGGCTCATTTCGCCACCTCCTGAGAGTTTCTTCAATCAAGTTGCTTGGGATGGGTGATTGCCCTATAGATTGTAGGATAAACACGGCATTTGCATTCTAAGTAGACAGCTAATGTAACAGGGAGACAAGGCAGGTAACTCCCATCCCACCGTCTACCATCAAAACGGGAGTTAATATGTAGGGACAAGATTCAGAGGTGGTGGAATATTCTCTCCCCATACTCACAAATACACAAATACACACACGCAAGTAACCTACGTGGGTGCTTGCTTTGGGGACAGACATTGTACCTTTTCTTTAGGCCTGGCCCTATAGACCACGGACCAAACAGATGAGTCTGATGCTGAGTCCAATTAGAGGGTTAAAAGTCCCATCAGAAAGTTTTAAGAAAAAGAGATGGAATATAAAGGCAGTCTAGAACAAAATACCTTCAAAGTTCATATAGGCATGCAATCTTAAAAATCAGGAACTGTTCTGTTTTAAGCTAGTAGCTGTGATCTAAAAAAGAAGTCTTTATTGTCAATAACAGTGCAAAAATCAGTATAGATATTTTCATACATAATGCTCAGAGGTCTGCACAGCATACCAACTATTTAATTGGTCTATCTTCTGCTCCATAGTGACCCAGAATAGAGAGCACTCAATAGGAGGCATATGCAGCCTTTGAGAACTCCAAGGGCTAAAGCTGAGTTCTCGAAGCAGAGGGCACACCGGTGCTCTAATACCAGTGCCCAGAGCCGCCTTCCAGGATACTGAATGTGCTGATGCAAGCCATGGGCAAGGAAATCAGCCCAGGGCCTTGGTCATGGAGATGGAGCTTAGTAGGTTCTTGTCACAGCAAAGATTCTCCGGGTTGACTTTTTCCTCGCTTCCCTTTCGTTTAAAGTACTGGGCTGGATTTGACTCAGAACTCATTTAACAAACTTGCCCAATAATTTGGAGAGCTGTGTTGAATGGGAACTAGGACCAAGTCCATCACCCCACTGCTAGCCATCCCATAGATCTGCAGATAGTGAAGCTCAAACTGACCCCTAGAGAAGAACACAGAATTGTTTTAAGGGAAATGCCACAGCAGACCTCTTTTCCTGAACAAGCATGGTGCCACATCTCTTGCCTTCATTACAGCACAGAAACAGGCATACAGGTGAAGTTTACAGGAGAGCAAAAATATACATCCTCTGTATATGTGATCTGTTCAGCAGTGATAATAGACATCTGTCAAAGCTTTCTTGAAAGAGACGTTGGGATTCATTTGAATCTGCAAACCATGACACTAACTGAAGTTTAACAGCTAATCATAGTTAAACTTCTAAATATACAGACAGAGCGATAGCAACTCCCACACTGCAAAGGAGAGAAGTTTGACACTGCTAGTATCTGCTTCCCTTCCTAAGCGACATATAACTGATGCTCTTCTGGAAGGGAAGGAAACAGAATTTAGCCACCTAGCCTTCACTGCTGCTTGGATATGGGGTAGGACTACGAAAGGAGCTCAAAGATCATGCAGTAAAAGGAATACGTTATGCCACGTTATGCCAACACTGCCACTGGAGATTTCTCTAGCAAGGGTGTTACCGACTGTCAAAGAGCATGGCCAGTAACACTGTCACCGTGTGGGACAATCACCACATGCTACAGAACTGATTGACATACCTGCCTTCTGTATTCTTCCATTGGGTTGTAAACTGTCCATCCATCCACGTTAAATTTTTCTTCGTTTAAAAATGCAAACATTGGCTAGAAAGATCAAAGCAGAAGTTAAACTCTGTTTGGCATGAAGGAACAAACAGTCTAGTGGATTTTTTTTTTATTTTTCCAACAGATTTGTTGCCCGTGGAATCACAACCCAAACTGAGACTGTCATCAAAAAGCAGTGGGAAATTACACAAGACTTATGCTGCCTTCTGTCTGGGATAGTAATCATTTGACACCCTGTTCTACAGCTGCACATGTACTTTAAGTTTGTCTTTTTATTTCTCTTTTTGGGTCACACCGGGCGATGGACAGGGGTTTCTCCTGGCTTTGAACTCAGGAATTATTCCTGGTGGTACTCGGGGGACCATATGGGATGCTGAGAATTGAACCCAGGTCGGCTTCGCACAAGGCAAATGGCCTACCTGCAGTACTATTGCTCCAGCCCCCTAGTTTGTCTTTTTTTTCTTTAAAGAAAATGATGTACCATGAAAACTGTGTTCAGACCCCAAAAGTGTCAATCAACTCTAAATGGTATTAGCAATTAACCAGGTAAAAGTCATCTGGGTAGGGAGCACCAAATAAAGGGTATTGGGAGGATCCTCCCAGGATGGGAGAAGCATGCTGAAAGTAGACTATAGACCAAACATGATTGCCACTCAATGCCTCTCTTGCAAACCACAGGACCCAAAAGGAGAGAGAGAACAAAAGGGAATGCCCTGCCACAGAGGCAGGGTGAGATGGGGGGATGGGGGGTGGGAGGGATACTGGGATCCGTGGTGGTGGGAAATGGGCACTGGTGGAGGAATGGGTATTTGATCATTGTATAACTGAAACCCAAGCACAAAAATGTGTAAGTCTGCAACTGTACCCCATGATGTCTCACTATTTATAAGGTAAAGGCCCTCCCGTTTTTCATCGATTTGCTCGAGCGGACCCAGTAACGTCTCCATTGAAGACTTTGTTGTTACTGTGTTTGGCATATCGAATACGTCACGGGGAGCTTGCCAGGCTATTAAAAGTTAAAAAATAATAAATAAAATTTAAAAAAAAAGTCATCTGGGGAAAAAAAAAGAAAAAGAAAAACAACGAAAATTCAACAGTTCAACCGTCCCGAAGGGGGCGACGATGTGTTCATCTATTTAAAAACTGACAGGATATTAAAAAAACTTCTTCTTTAACTGGTCTCTGTGAATACTGAAGCAATGCCCTGAGCTCTGTGGAGTGACGGAACTCGGACTTCCCTTCCCTGCCTGGGCATAATACATTGCTGGAATTTCATGGCTCCCACACCATCCGCAGCCAGTGGCCCCCAAGGAGCTCTGGGTCTCCAGGCTTCACCCTGCGCTCCACACTCAGCAACCCACACGGCTTCTCCACACCCCGAGACAAGGAGTCCCCTGCCCTTGACTGCCACTCCCCAGGCCTCCCACGGCCACTGCATTGCGGCAGATGCCAGTCCCCTCCTTCTCTTTGCATCCCCATCATTTGTCACGACCACCCCGGCCCAATGCCCACCACTGTCATTTGGATTTTTAAAATGACCCCCGTCCCGCATGTCCTCTATCGCTCTCTCTGCATCCGTGAGGTGAGAGCAATGGTGTTGCAACCTACGTGAGGTAAAGTCCTTCCACTGCGCCCATCTCACTCGAAGTACAAATAGATCAAGTCTTTCCCATGGCCCTTTCGGCTGTCCTCCATCAAAGCAGCCCACAATCCGTCCACAACTGCGAACACCAGAGTTCCCTCCCACAGCATCCAGATAATCTTCAGAAAGGTGAGGCCTGCGGGCAGGCACAGGGGGGCAGGGGGCACTTTCCTTGCATGCAGCCGAACTGGGTTTGATCCCTGGCATCCTGTACGGTCTCCTGAGCACCACCAGGAGTGATTCTTGAGTGCAGAGCCAGGAGTAACTGCAGAGCAAGCATCACTAGGTGGGGCCCCCAAACAAACAAACAAAAAGTCTCATTTAGCAGGTCCAGTTCTCCACAACTGAGGAGAAAAAGGTGTAAGGTAAAAATTGATCGAGAGCATACGCCATGGACCTTTGGTGCCGGGGATCTTCTGGGACTTCCCAAAGCATTTGGCACCCTCAGCGGGTGGGAGCACTGTAGCACTGTCCTCCCGCTGTTCATCAATTTGCTCGAGCGGGCACCAGTAATGTCTCCATTGTGACTTGTTGTTACTGTTTCTGGCATATCGAATATGTCACGGGGAGCTTGCCAGGCTTTGCCGTGTGGGTGAGATACTCTCGGTAGCCGGCCGGGCTCTCCGAGAGGGGTGGAGGAATCGAACCCGGGTCGACCGCGTGCAAGGCAAACACGCCCCATCATTGGATACTATGCGATGGGCAACAGGGCAACCACATATTAGGAGCAGCACAGAGCCAGCTAAGCAATTCCTTGGCTGCTTTAGTCCAGTGTGGAAGCCACGGCCGCACTTTATTATTCGGCAGTACTGGGGAGGAGTGATCGGGGAGCCACAGCGCCTCCTACAGGCGCGCAGGGAAGCGGCACTCATACGCACAGTGCCCATCCTCATCCGCAAACAGAACCTGGGACTCCGTGAGCCGTGGATGGGGCCTGGGTGAGTGCTCAACACTTTAACTGACCTCCTTGGCGATTGCGCTGAAGCAGTGGGAAATACACTGGCTTTTCCCAGAGAAAAGAACTGCTCCCTCAAAGGCCCGGCCACGCTTTCTCCTTACAACCACCGCGTGATCAGCGCCGTCTGACTTGCCAGCAGCGTTTCCAATATAACTTTCTATTTCTTATTCAGGGGAAGGCATCTCCTTTCTCACACGGAATCGTCTTTTATCTCTTATATTGGGAAATGGTAAGCGGGGGCATTCCTGCGCGAGGAGAGGCGTGGCTGGAACCCAAACTATCTGCACAGCAGCATTTCTCTACGAGGCTTGAGAGAATTCCGAGTGCAAAGGAAGCCAGTGCCATTAGCAGGCAACGAGATCATGTCCCTGTGGTGGTGGAGACGAGTCAGGCGACCTAACTCATAAACTCATTCAGGAATGACAGTGCATGTTCTGGGCAGCACCCTCATGCAGGGGGGGAGTGGGCGAGCAGGCCCCCTGCCCGCTAAGTGCCTCAAAGCTCTCAATGGCAGACCCTGCTGCTCCCCATAACTCCTATTGGGCACAAATATTCCAGGAAAATTTAGAAACCACACAGCAGTTCGATATTTCTTTCTTTTGCAGGGGGGCTTTTGGGGTCACACCCAGTGATGCTCAGGGGTGACTCCTGGCTCTGCACTCAGAAATTATTCCTGCCAGTGCTCAGGGGACTGTACGGGATGTCAGAGATTGAACCTGGGTTGGCCGCATGCAAGGCAAAAACCCTACCCACTGTGCTATTGCTCTGGGCCTGAGTTCACTAATTCTTGTCACGGAATACACAGCAGTAGTTCTTTAAGAACAATTTGTTTGTCTTTTAATTACAGGGCTGTGATTTCCAAAGTTATTGATAGTTGCATCTTAGGCATCCGATATTCCGACACCGATCCCACCACCAGTGTCAAACATCCCCCCTTCCAGCCGTCGCCTTGACAGGTGTGTGGTTGTACTTCAGAGTTCACGGTTTCAGTGGTGTTGAGCCTGAGCTCTGATTTCTTTCCTTCTCCTCCCTATTCTCTCGGGTCAAAGGTGATCTGGGTATCTTCTCTGTACTCCAGTACATTTCCTCATCCAGTTATTCTATAGACCACAGAAAAGTGTGATCCTCCTGTTTGTCCTTCTGACTTTCTTCACTCATGATACTTTCTAGTTCCTACAAGGCTGCAGCAAACTGCATGGTTTTATCATTCTTTGAGGCTTACACAGCACTGCATCTAACACGGAATCAGCTGCAAAAGCCCAATGTTTCAACCATTAGCTTACAGTGACAAGAACACTTGTTTTTTTCAGGAAACATTTCATGTTAGTTTAGCCTGGGGTGTGTTTTTCTTTAACAACTAAGCAGTCTTGGGGCGAGGGATGTGGCTCTGGTGGAAGAGGGTATGGCTTGCATGTGGGAGGCTCTGGGTTCCATATCTGCCCCCGTCCCATAAAACCAAAGCAAAGAGACAAACTTTTGCGTGAAGGAAAAGCAAGAGTAACAAACCTCTGGAACCGGACAGAGGTAGAGCAGGTAAGGAGCTAACCTTGCAAGAGGCTGATCTGGGTTCAAGCCCCAGCACCCCATCCCTGAGTGTAGAACCAGGAGTACGCCCTGAGCACCACCGAATATGGTCCCCAAAACGACAACAAAATGAACTTTGAAATTCGTCCAGAGGCCTAAGAAGTGGTGATGGAATAGACTGGAAGGCTGTTTACCCTTCTTGCGGCTCCCTGACACTGGCATCACCACTACCAGGGACTCCAAATACACACTCACTGCCAAAGCGCATCAGAAACCAGACCCCCAGCTGCCCAGCTTGGTTTGGGGAGTGGGGGGGGGTCTTCCTTTATCTGATTATTTATCAGGATTCTGGCAATGAACCAGTTCAGATTCCTACAAGGCAAAAGACACCAAGCATGAAGACTTTCAAAAAGGCAATCATGTGCCTTTTTTTTCCAGGATTAAAAATAGCACAATGTAACATTTGAAAAATGTTAAAGGACAAAGTTGAGATGAAAATCTCTGATTTCACACTAGGGATAAAAACAGCTCTGACACAAGAGAACGTAAGTTGTCATTTTAATTTTGCTACATTTACCACCGTTGTGTCTTGTGGGGGGCACAACCCTGAAATGACAACCAATTTTAGCTTTCACTTAGCCATTATTTCCATAATGGCACCGTAGGAAGATGCATTGCCTGGCGGAAAACATCCAGCGAGGGCCAGGGCCCGGGCTCAAAGAGCCAAAGCATCGGCTCCGCATGGGGGAGGCCCAGGTTGAAGCCCCGGCCTGCCGCGGTCCCCGGAGCACTGCTGGGTGTGGCCCCCAAATAATCAAAATAAAAATCCGGCTTGGAATGGCAATGAACCATTGGAAGCAAAAAGATGCTTATTCACAATTTCTCTTCTCCCAGGAGGAAGAGCTGTTCGTTGGA